GTAGCTTTTAAGTCAGGCAGTCAGCTGAAAACCACCAAAGAGTTTGGTACTTAAAATTGTTAACAGTCAACTTTGTTAATTTTAAATAAATATTTTAAAAAACAAAGTCTCGGACATTGATCGTTACCTCAAGTTTTGGACTAATTGAAAACAAATATTTTCTTTTCTCACGTTCAACGTTACGATCGGAATTATTAGAATTTATTGAACAAAAACTGTCAAACTTGAATCTGAATCAGACCAGGTCATGTGTCGTACCTTCCCCCCTCCCCACATTCTTCTGGAATTCATTGAATACACAGGGATAATGAGGGAGTAAAATACGAGGGCACAATAGGGCAGAAATGACCGCGGTGCAAGGCCAAACACCATCTCGGCGGTGAGGAAAGGGTTTTAGTGGGTAAACAGCTTAGCTGGAGTCCCACACAACCCAGAGCGACAGACCACCAGCTCTTGGAGTGCATAAAAGAGCATTTCCCAAACCTCACCGGAAAAAAAAACGGAAAATTTAGACATGTTTTATCAATATATAATAATCATATTTTTATCAAATATATGTATCTCCTTAGAGATAATAAATATTTATTTTCTATTGTTTTAAAACTGCATGTTTTTTAAATTTGTAAAATAAATAATAGATATCTTTTGAACTAATTCTAGATGACCATATCTCTACTCTTCTTTTCTCAACTATAGTTTTTGCCTCAAATTTAAAGCCTAGCTTGAGCTTATGACTTTATTTAAAAATTTGCGAGTATATTTTACATATATTATGTGATTTGCGAACGGGGAGTGGGGGGCGCTAAAAAGATATTCTGCCTAGGGATGACACGAAATACTTCTCACAGGTATTTTGGAACAGATATCGATATGGAACAGTCGGGTACCTGAGACCGATATTTAAAATGTCGGGAACAGCAGTAACAGCCGTCTCCGATATTTTCTTTAATGTGTCCAGGCCTGTGAGTCACAGGCTGTGACTGACTGACTGTTTTTTCGTAATTCTGAGCTGTTCTTTGTTCTTGAAACTTGATCTTTTTCGACAAATAGCAGTGCTTCTGAAATAAAATAGCAATTGTTGCATCTGCCCAGTGGAGTAGTGAACAAACTACATTTAAATTTGTATAGGCGCTATTTATCTACTCTGGACATGTTTCAATATTTGCTTATATCAAACATAGCTGAAGTATTAAATGGCCGATTTTCAATTAAGCGATAAGATGAATTGTAATCAGTGATCAGCATGAAAATAGAATATTTTTCACATTTTACTGCCCCTAAGTGGAATGTGGTCACCTTTTTTTGTGTTCAAATAAAGTTTTGATAAAATGGTAAAACGTTACTCATAAAAAATGTTATGACTTTTTTTTTTAACATCAGCCCTTGCATACATAAAAGAACAAAAGGCATTCGGTCTTCGGTCATAATTTATGTCTGACCCAGCAGATTCGCACCCAAATTACTAGGAAGTGGCGTGGATATCCTTCAATGGAACAATTAGTGCAGTCGGATTAGATTAGATTGACCGACGACACCTGTCTCTACTTTACAGCCAAAAACCCCAAATACATTCCACCAAAACTCCAAAGACACTTAGACAAACTCACAGACTGGACAGACACCTGAAAAATTAAAATCAACGCGGAAAAAACACAAACACTTATGGTAACGACGAAACGCACAGACAAACTAAGACTCATCACTCTACATAACGAAAACATCGCCTGGTCCAAATCAGCAAAATACTTAGGCATCTTACTCGACAAAAAACTAACATTCACCGAACACATCAAAGACAAAATCACTAAAGCAAGAGCAGCACGCGCAGCCCTCCACACCTTTCTAAACCGAAACAGCAAACTTACCATCAAAAACAAACTTCTCCTATACAAACAAATTATTGGACCACAGCTTCTTTACGGCGCCTCAGCTTTCATCACGACCTGCAAAACCAACATAAATAAAATACAAACTGTACAAAACAAAATCCTTCGAAACATCTGCAGAGCTCCCTGGTACATACGTAACAAGGACATACACAAAGACTTGAAAATGGACACCATACAGGAATTGTTCACCAAAAAACACTCCAAATTCAAAGCCAAAGTCCTCAATCATTCAAACCCACTAATCCAAAACACATTTAAAATTACCCCACCGCAAAATAACCAGGGCGAAAAATCATGGCCCCCTTTAACTGGGAATAGTACAGTAAATGAAAATTTCATTACTGACTGACCAAAAAAAGTTATAGTACCATTTTCGTGAAACAAAACTAAATTAATTATTGAAAATTAATTAAACGCTGAAATCGACGGCTTTTTTAAATTTTTGAGTAAACTAATGAACGGATTTTAATGTAGTTTATCTGATATCATAGGTATTTTTAATACTTGAAAAAAAAGATAAAACTTTTTTTCAATAGCATCAACGGTTCAACAATTATGCACAAAAAACAGACTTCGCACTATCTTTAATTATTTATAAATAATTGTTAATGAACAATGTTCCACAGCCGGAAATCGAGCACAAACTATAGTCTCAATATTCTGACATCCTTTCGAACAACTTCCAATAATCTTTTACCATCATATT